GGATGAGTACTCCGGGAACCCTCCTTGAGGGCCCCCTCCATCCAACACCACCCAGGTCGTTTCTGGATTCGCTATCGGGGGAGGGGCTCTTTCGCCGACTTGCCCTCGATGTATCGCCGTCTTCAGTTCGATGTTTCCTCCATTCAGATGTCCAGCGCATCTTAAAAAAAAAAAAGCCACAACAAAAACAAAAAATGAGCCAGCCCCCCAACATCGGGAGGCCTCAGGCGGCCCGCAGAGCGCCCAACACGCCCTAAGACGACGCCAAGGTGGCCCCGAGAGGCGAACACTTTCTGCGTGGTTTTACGACGAGGTTTTCTGCGCGTGGTCGCTATTTCTCTAGGTTTTCTCGAGGTAATATTTCTCGCGGATTTTTTACGTGGCGTTCGTATTTCTCGAGGTTGTCTGCGTGGCTTTACCACCAGCCCCGTTTTCGCTACGGGTCGCTCCGCAAGGGGTCCGGAAGACTCCCAGCCGGACCCCCGAGGCCCACAGGAGCACCCTGAGGAGGGCCATGACGCTCCCACTCTAATCCCACATGGGCCGAGACAGCCCCGAAGCTGGCCCCAGCACGGCCCCCCAGTACTGCGCAAGACCGCCACCATCCGGCCCGAAGGCGCCCCCAGAGCGCTCGTCGACCTCTGCCGTCGGCGACCCCAGAGGAGGCCAGGTGCTCGGCTGCGCGCGCGCCGAGGCCATGGGGACATTGCTGTGCTGGCCGCTTCTCGAGCCTCCCAGTCTCCGACTCCGGCGCCCGTCTCTCCGACCCCAGCTCCCAACTTTCCGACTCCAGCGTTCCGACTCCAGCGTCCATCTCTCCGACTCCGGCTCCGACTCGTCTTCTGAGGGGCCCTGGCCCCCCCGCGTTGCCCTCGTAGGGCCGGCCCCGCTGGACCGACATCGCGCGCTCGCCCTCGCCCTCCCCTCTCTCGCCCCTGGCGTCCTGCTCCCAGCTCCTCACCGCTTCCTCATCGCCCCTCGCCTCGCTGTTCTCCCTCCTGGCTCCCCGCTCTGTTCCGTCTTCCTCGCTCCTGGCTCCTCGCTGCGCCGTGCTGCGAGGAGGAGGAGGAGGAGGAGGAGGAGGAGGAGGAGGAGGAGAGGGAGGGGGAGGAGGAGGAGGAGGAGGAGGAGGAGGAGGAGGAGGAGGAGGAGGAGGAGGAGGAGGAGGAGGACCAGGAGGACGAGGAGGAGGCGGAGGTGGTGGCACGTGCCTTGCCCCGTTGCTCCCTCCTCGCATCTCGCTGGCCCCTCTCGGCTCCTCTTGTGCGTGGCCGTCGCTGCTCCCTGCCTATTCGCTCCTTGCTTTGAAGCTTTAGCTCGGGCCTGTCCCTCTACAGGAGGAAGATTCAAAGATAGTCAAAAATAGTCTGGGGACGATTTGTTCAATAGTTTGAACATTTGTTTGTATGTGTTTGGGCATGTTCAATGTTTCGTCCGAAAGCCGCCTGTAGGAGGACAAGCCCTACCTAGTTCCAGCTGGTAGTTACGTGCTTCTCCTGCCTCGCTCCTCGACCCTGACTCTGCGCTCCTTGCCCCTCGCTCCTCCCCCCGTGATGCAATCTGAGCAGCATGCTGCGTCAGACTGCAGGAGCCCCAAGGGGCAGCATCCTGCAGCCTCGTACAGCAGCGACGACAAGCAGCAACACGACGCCGCAGCACTCGGCACCAGCTGTGGCACACTGCGGCAAACAGCAGCAGCAAGCAGCGGCAGCAGCATTCAGCAAGCAGTAGCACCTTGCAGCCGCATGAAGCAGCAGCACTGGCAATTGTCTAGCCAAACATCATCATAAAAGCCCTCACGCAAGATCTCCGCCTTGATCAAACGTGCCATCTCGAACATATTCCGTGGCGGAATGTCACGTGTGAGCCCAAGTCAGTTACAATGTTGGGATCAGCGCGTGCGAGAAAGGCGGGCAGTGGCAGCGGGCCGTGTTTTTGTTCGGCGAGATGAGCGAGGCGAAGTTGGAGCTGGACGTTGTACATGCATGTGCGAGTATATCAGCACAATGCCAGTTCCACCGCGTGCCAGAAGAGCGTTCGTTCAAGAAGATTAAGATCGGGCGGGCCTCGGGACGCCCCAAGACCGTCCGGTGGAGCCTCCACGGACCCAGGCCCCAAGGAGGCCCCAGGAAGCGCTTACGACTGCAAGACAGGCCAAGATGGCCCCAAGGCGCCCCAGATGGCCTCATGCGGCCCTGGACGCCCCAAGGCGCCCCAGATGGGGCCAATGTGGCTGCAAGAGGCTCCAGGATAGCTGCGCACATGTCCCCACCTAGGTTCGCACACTTCGTGCATGTAGTCCATGAGCCAGTCTTAGTCTTCTCTACAATGCAGGGACCCGTGCGTGCGGGAAGGGTCCCTGTCTTGATGGACTTAAAATGCCCCACAACGGCTCCGGGGACGCCCCAGAGGCGCTCACGCGGCCCCAGAGGCGCCCAGGACGGCCCCAGACACCCCCAAAACGGCCCAAGAGCGCTCCAAGAGAGCTCCAGACCGCCGAAAACGGCCCCGACAAGGCCCAGGAGGCCTCCACGACGGCCCCAGAGACGCTCAAGAGGCGTCCCAGGATGGCCCCCACAGGTCCAAATCATTGTTTCCCCAACGAAAGCGTCAAATTTTAGCACACGCACACACACACACACACACACACTGCTTGTCGAGAGTATGGCGCAGAAGATGGGACAAGAGGCCCCCACGACCGCGCCAAGACGGCCCAAGAGGCCCCCCAGAGGCACGAAAACCGGCCCGCGAGAGCGTCCAGAGACCCAAGAGGCGCCCAACACGGCCCCCAGGCGGCCACAAGAGGCTCCCAGGAGGCGCCCAGGACGGCCCCAGACACCCCCAAGACGGCCCAAGAGCGCTCCAAGAGAGCCCAAGACAGCCGAAAACACCCAAGACGGCCCAGGAGGCCTCCACGACGGCCCCAGAGACGCCCAAGAGGCGTCCACGGATGGCCCTCAGAGGCGGAAATCATTGTTTTCCCAAAGAAAAACGCTCACTTCCAGCATGCGCTGCTTCACGGGAGTATGGCGCAGAAGCTGGTTCCAGGTCCCCACGACCGCCCCAAGACGGCCCAAGAGGCCCCCAAGACGCACGAAAACCGGCCCGAGAGGGCGTCAAGAGAGCCCAAGAGGCGCCCACAACGGCCCCAGGGTGACACCAAGAGGCTCCCAGGACGGCCCCAGGTATCCCCAAGACGCTCCAAGAGCGCTCCACGACAAGCCAAGACTGCCTTTTGCCGCGCCAAGACGGCCCAAGACGCCTCTACGACGGCCCAAGAGACGCCGAAGAGGCGTCCCAGGAGGGCCCCAGGAGGGCCCCGAGACGGCCCAAGACGCACCCAAGACAGCCCCAAGAACAGTTAACAATGGCCCAAGACGGCCCCACCGCCCCGTCTCCAAGACGGCTGTTAGATGCCCCCACCGCCCCGTCTCCAAGCCTTTCCGTTTGGACAGTCTCCAAGACGGTCTCTGGGCCGTCAGGGACGGCTCCAGAGGCGCCCGAGACGGCTCAAGAAACAACAAAGACAACCCCCAGAGCGCCCACTATTTGCCCAAGATAGCTCCAAGACTGTCCCAAGATGCCGAGAGGCGCCCAAGACGGCCCCACATCGCCCCAAGACGGCCCAAGACGCACTCACGATTGCCCAAGAGGGCTTCAAGAGACCCCCAGCAGGATGAAAAGGGCCCCCAAGCGGCCCCCAAGAGGCGTTGGATGCTTCTCTCTTGGGTAGCGTCGAACTTCCAGTATCGTCTTAGGGGCTTCTTGGACCCACTGCGAGCCATCTCTGCGCCATTTGGCGACGTCTTGGGGCGGTGCGCTCGAATGGTCGATTCGTGTCCTCGCACTGGGGCCCGTCTTAGGGAGTTACGTCTCGCCGCCCTCTTGCGGGCCTCCCAGGCCGCGCCCACTGGCCCCATTGTCACCACACTACCACATCAAATTATCATTCGGCCCCGGCGAAGAGCAAATAACTTCTCACGGCTGCCCTCCCCGCAGAAGCTATGATGAACACAGACTGCGGCGTCAGAAACAGCTGTCATGCCTACATGGGTGCGCTTCCATTGACACCGCCTCCACCACCGCGTTCCTGCCTTCAGGCCTGCTTGCCTGCATCCCTCGCCCACCTCCCCCTCCAGCGGTCACCTCCTCCATCCACACCGTCCCCTCCAACCTCGCCTTACCCGCGAGGCCCCAGAGACGCTCCACTTCCACGTCCAAGCCATGGCGGGCAGATTCTGCGGCCGGAAGGCCGCGGGTCAGCCCTAGTCTCTACTACATTGCAGGGGCACGTGCGTGCGGGAAGGGTGAGCAGGCTCAAATGTCTCAAAACCGCCCCGGGCTGGCCCCGGGCCGCCCCGGGCCGCCCAGGCAGGCCCCAGGACATGTCGAGAGGGCCCACAGATTTCCCCAAGACGGCCCCGGAGAGCTCGGCACGCTTAAAGATCGGCCCAAGACGCCCGAGATTTGCCCCAGGCGGCCCAAGAGGCGTCCAAGACGCCCGAAGAGGCCTCCCAAGGAGGGCCCCGAGCGACAGAAATCGTAGATTTCTACTGTGTTTTTCGATGTTTCGGCCTCCTCGCCTCGTCGGCTTCCCGACGCTCCAAGACGGCCCAAGAAGCCCCCCCCGACCGCTCCAAGACGGCCGAAGAGGACCCCAAGAGAGCCCCAAGACGGGCCAGGAGGGCCCCCAGACGGTCCCAAGACGCCCCAGGACGGCCCCAGGACGGCCCAGGAGGCGCCCAAGACGGCCCAAGAGGCACCCAAGACGACCCCAGGAGCGGCCCAAGACGGCCCACGACAGCCCAAGAGGCGCCGAGGCGGGTCTCAGACGGCCCCAAGACGGCCCAAGAGGCACCCAAGACGGCCCGAGAGGGCCCTAAGAGCCCCCCCGGGAGGCCCAAACGAAGGCCGAAGAGGCTCCGAAACGGCCCCCACGAAGCCTTCAGTGCCTTCAGCATTCCCTCCAGGAGCGGGGGAGCGGACGAGAGGCGACAGGCATATCGCAGGCAAAAACGCCCCAAGAGATCCCCAAACGGCCCCCACGAAGCCCTAAGTGGCCTCAGAATTGCTTCCAGGAGGGGGGGAGCGGACGAGAGGCGACCGGCATATCGAAGGCACAAAAGAACAATGTTGGACGCTCCGAGGGCCTTCGATGTTTCTCCGTTGGGGAGAGTCGTCGTAGGATCGACGATTGCCGACCGAGGGCAGCGAATCCAGTGGAGGCCCAAGAGGCCCCCAGGAGCCCAAAAGAGATCCCCAAGAGGTGCCACGGGGCTTAAAAACTGCTTCGAAGCGAGGGGGGCGGACGAGGGGACCGCCTCAGGAGGTTTTGGACGGTTTTGGGCCTCAAAATCGTCCGCTTTACGACGGTTTTGGAAGGATTTTGGCCTTCTCGCCTTTTCCGCTTTCCGACGCTCGAAGACGGCCCAAGAGGCCTTCAAGAGCGCCCCAGAACGGCCCAAGAGGTTTCCAAGAGCGCCCCAAGACAGCCCAAGAGGGCCCCACGACGACCCAAGAGACGCTCAAGACGGCCCACGAGGGCCTGAAGACAGGCCCAAGAGGGGGCCAAGAGGGGGACCACGGACCGAAAATCCGAGCCTTCCGCCCCAATAGGGCGCCAAGAGGCCCAAACAGGCCCCCAAGAGGCCCCAAGGGGCCGCCAAGAATCCCCCGAAGAGGCCCCAGGAGGCTCCCAAGGAGCCCTCCGAGCTTCCTCGCCGCGAGGGTGCCAACACGGCCCCAAACCGGCCCAGGACGGCCCAAGGCGCGCTCAAGACGGCCCAAGACGATTCCAAGACGGTCCCAGGAGGGTGCGCCCAGGACGGCCCAAGGACGCGCCCGTTCGGGGCCTCAAGACGGGCCAAGATGGCAAGAGAGTCCCAGCTGGCAAAAATCGTTCATTTTCCATTGTTTACTGTTACACCCTTTGCGTTTCCCGCCGTTTCGGCGGTCCGATGCACCAAGAGGCCCCAGAAAGTCCCAGGAGGGTCCGAGGAACCGCCCAGGAAGGCCCCAAGACGGGCCAAGACGGACCCAGCACAACCCAAGGCGCGTTGCGACGGCTCAAGACGGCTCCAAGACAGCCCCAAGAGGGTGCCAACACGGCCCCTGCTGGGCCCAGGACGGCCCAAGGAGGCGCACAGGAGGGGCCCAAGACGACTCCAAGGCGGCCTCCTCACGGTCCCAGACGGCTCCAAGACAGCCCCACGAGGACCCCGATGGGCCCAGGACGGCCTACGGACGCGCCCATGAGGGGCCCACGACGAACCAAGACGGCCCCATCAGGGCAAACGGCGCCCTCAAGACGGGCCTAGACGGCTCCAAGACGGCCCTTTGAGGGAGCCAACGCGGCCCCACACCCTTCGGGCGCACACTTGGGGGGGCTGGGAGCTTGCGACAAGTCTCCCACATTCATTGTCCTGCCCCATTCTGTTCGCCTGGAGGCCTCCTCCAACCCTGTGGGCGAACAAGAGGAATCCCAGCGGGACGCCAACCCTGGGGCCCGTGGGCCCCGCGCCGCTTGGGCAGAAGACGAACGCCGGGTCTGACAGGCCAGCTACCGCCCCCCTTTGCCCGATATGCTGTGCCATTCTGTTCCCCCAGGGGCCTTGGCAAACTCTTCGGGCCAAGCAGACCGGACCCCTGGGACAGCAGCCAATTGATATGACCCTGGGACCTCTCCGCATTCTTCGGACGAGCATCTGGGGGGCCCAGGAGATTCGGACATGTCTTCCCCATTCCTTGCCCTGTCCCGTTCTGTTCGCCCGAAGGCCTCCACAGACCCTCTGGGCGAACAGAATGGGACATGGCGAACAAACCCTCCCGTTGGCGGTGATGCGACTGGATCGCACCATCAAGGCGCGCCCGGAGGTGATGGCCGACCCAACAGCGGTTTCTCTTAAGAGTTCACTGGATTTCAAATTTTCTTGAAGCTCTCTTGGGCCCTCCCTGTAGATCCTTGCGAGCCTCCCCGGCGCTTTCGGTGGCTTTCCCCGATGGCCTCCCGAGCCCTTCCCCGAGCGCTCCTGAGACGCCTCAGATGGGCTTCGACTTCGACGCACATCCCCGAGAGACTTCGAAACTGTCCTCAATAGGATTGGGGTGAACGAGCAGTGCGCTGGGCCAAGCTGCTGCAGCGCTGCAAGAGCTCGGACACGAAAGCGCGGTCTCGTTGCCGCCGCCCGAGCCGCCGCCGTGTTTGTAGATTTTCGGTACAATCTGCGCCGTTCCTCCGAGAACCATTCCAGAAAGATGTCGTGGACGGAGTCCACGGGTCAGCCCTAGTCAGCTACAGTGCCGGGATCAGCGCGTGCGAGAAGGGCGAGCAGTGGCAGCGGGCCCTGGCGCTGCTCAGCGAGATGTGGGAGGCGAAGCTGGATCCCGACGTCATCAGCTACAGTGCTGGGATCAGTGCGTGCGAGAAGGGCGAGCAGTGGCAGTGGGCCCTGGCGCTGCTGAGCGAGATGTGGGAGGCGAGGCTGGAGCCCGAAGTCATCGGCACTACAATTCTGGTCGCGGCGCGTGCGAGGAGGAAAATCTGCAGCAGCGCCCCGGGCGGCCCAGAGAGCCCGTGGGCCGCCCGGAGAGCCTCTGGGGCGCTCCTCGACGGCCTCAGGAGGCCCCTGGATCGCTCGCCGACGGCTCCAGGACCCCCAGATCGCCCCAAGACGTCCTCACAGACGCCCACGAGGGCCGAAGCAAAAAGGTCTCAGAGACGGCCCCCGAGGACCGCCTGGACGGCGCCAAGGGGCAAACTTGTACGTTTTCCGATGGTTTCGAGGGTTTCCTTGTTCCCGCCATTTCGGGCCCACAAAGGCCCAGGATGGCCCTGGGGGCTTACCACATCGCCCCTGCACGGACCAAGAGGGCTCCAGGAGGGCCCCTAGACGGCCGAAGAAGGCCCGTAGACGGCCCAAGAGGGCCCCAAGACGGCCCAAGAGAGCTTCAAGTGACTCCCAAGTCAGCCCCAACCGGGCCCCAGACCCCGCCGCACCGGGCCTAAAGCGACCTCCGAAACGGCCCGAGACCCCCAAGATGGCCCCAAGAGGGGCCCAAGATGCCGCCCAAGAGGGCCCAAAGCGACCTCCGAGACGGCCCGAGACCCCCAAGATGGCCCCAAGACCTTCCTGCGCGGCCCCCAACTGAGGCTCGCAAACGTGCCCCACTCACTCTGACTGACTGTGCCTGAAAAACCTTGTTCTTGCTAATCGCGCCTGGGCCCAGCGCGATTTGCAAAAAACTAAAAAAATATCCCGGCAAAGCAACCTAACAGCCATGTGTAGGAGCATATCTGGAAGCATTCCCCTTAAGATTCGGATGAGAATCCAGTTGTAGAATTCTGCTGTTCTCGCAGTCGTTGTCGCATTCGCGAGGACAGTCGCAGTGGCAACGGCAGTCGCAGTCACAGCCTCAGCCTCAGCCTGCCTCAGCCTCAGCCTCCGCCTGCCTCAGCCTCAGCCTGCCTCAGCCTCAGCCTCAGCCTGCTTTAGCCTCAGCATCAGTCTGCCTTCGGCCTCGGCCTCAGCCTCAGCCTGCCTCAGCCTCAGCCTGCATCAGCCTCAGCCTCAGCCTCAGCCTGCCTCAGCATCAGCCTGCCTCAGCCTCAGCCTCAGCCTCAGCCTGCCTCTGCCTCAGCCTCAGCCTGCTTCAGCCTCAGCCTCAGTCTGCCGTCGGCCTCGGCCTCAGCCTCAGCCTGCCTCAGCCTCAGCCTGCATCAGCCTCAGCCTCAGCACGAAGCGACCCAGCTAGAAGGACAAAGCGCTGAATGTACACCGATGTGTTCGACGACTGCGTATGTAATGATGTGACGATATACAGACTGAGCCCTTCGTGAATGTCTACATGTTTTTCTGACGCCTACAAACGGCGCTGACGTGTGTGAGAAAATTGTCCGCGCAGCAAAAGCCGGCGAAGCGTGCGGGAGCTCGCATGCTGAGACAGACTACGTCTGCAGACCGCCAGCTGCAAAAAGTTGCGAGCGGCTCTTGGAAGATGTTTACGGAACGGAGCTACGGTGTCTGAAAACATTGGCATCGAAGGGAAGAGCCTCGGAGCCCTGCAACCTGAGAAACACCGCAGGAACTCGCATACTGAAAAGGAATGCATTGCAAACCGCACGCTGCGAACCCTGCAGGCTGAGAAGCACCGCAGGATGTCGCATGCTGAAAAGCACTTGTACTGCAGAGCGCTAGCATCTATCTCGGGCTCGGACCCCCCCGTCCTGATCCAGAACGTGTCCGGCCACGGCCTGAAAATGCCGTTCCAACTCCCGAGGATCAGCTGGCACTCCGGCTCTGGGACACTCCAGTACGTCTTGAGCACCTTGAGCCAGGCCCCATCTCGGGATCCCCACAGCACGCTGTACTTGACCGAGACCGTGCCGAACTCATAACAATTGACCTCCGAAGGACCTGCGAGTGCAGGCTGAGAAACACCACGCGATTGCAGGGCACGGCATTGCGTGTCACATGAGTGCAGGCTGAGAAGCACCACATCTCGTTTGCCAGAGATCACTCCCAGGTTATTTGATCCCGCAACACCAGCCACGGCGTAGCTGCCACAGGGGCCGCAGATAGCAACGGTTCGGTCACCCAATTGGCGTTCCGGTGAGTCACAATTCGCGCGTGGCTCCACGAGCCTGTGTAGCGCGATTTGCGGGGCACCAGTGTGCTGTAGGTGTTGTTGCCGTAGCAGAAGACGGCCTCTGGAGCCCAGTGCGGATTCCAGCGGACAGCGTAGACCCTGTGGACGCCATTGCGGATGACGTCGCGCGCATCTTCGATATGTGCCACCCATCGAAGCCAGTCAAATGCTGAGCCATCGGTGATGTCAACAGCACCTGGGGCAGTCTCGCCATGGTGGTAGTGCAACAGCGATTGGAGAGCGGCGCTGGCTTCGTCGCGGCCCACAATCTGGCGCGAGCAGGCTGCCTCTTGCAGGTGCTCCTGTGTGAAGAGCAGTGGGGCATCACCGCCAGTCTCGGCAGGCTGAGCAGCGCCACCGTCAGGCACGGCAGTCTGAGCAGCGCCGCCACGAGGAACATGAGGCTGAGCAGCGCCAGGCTCAGGCACGGCAGGCTGAGCAACGGCGCGTGGTGGACCGACATAGGTGGGCTCATCGGGTCGGCCGTTCTTATGGTAATGCAGGCGCATGGCTGAACCGTCTGCACGACGGAACTCGAAGAAGTGCCTGCCGTGGCCATCCGTGTTGGAGTAGTTAGGGTCGCGCTCTGTCTCGATGATGCGAAAGAGAACCTGGGCGATGCCCTGCCCGATTATGCGCTCAGCGAAACCCGGAGCGGCAGACCGAAGCAGTTGCTTCCAGTCGTAGGACGGGTCGTTTGTTACGTCTTTGAACGACAAGTTGTTGACAATGCACTCGGCGCGCAGCGCGCGCTGCCACTGGCAGGCGGTCTTGCCGCCCATCCCTGGTGTACGGCGGATGTCTTCGAGGTGAGCCTGCTCAAAGACCACGTCGACACCTGGCTGAGGAGTCGGTGCGGGCGGATCCGGCAGAATCTCCCACGGGCCATCGCACGGGGCCGGGGGTGGCGGGGGCGATGCCTTGCCGCGTGCTGGCATTGTGACAAGGCAGGCTGAGGAGCACCGCCGCGGCTGGACGGCCAGGTGAAACTCGAGCAAACATGGTTAAGGATGATGATGATGGTGTTGATAGGAAACCCGGTATCAGCGAGTTGATGTACAATGAGGTGTCCGCAAACGAGACACTGCTGTCAACGCTGTTATAACTAACCACAAACGAGACACTGCTATCAACGCTTGCACAATTAAAAAGAAACGCTGGCATTGACACTACTAGCAATACCAAAGTGGAGTTTAAACGAGGCACTGCCATCAACCGATTCAACTTCCAATGAAAGAAGATCACAAATGAGTTCACTCTGAAGTGACCCATGGGTATCAATGCGAGAAGTCTCTGCAAACTATTCACTCATGGCGACCGCCGCGCACACGCGTGTAGGAAATCGTTGATGATGATAGTGATAATGGAGTGGGGGCCAGTAATGCAGATACACTGCTGTGCATTCACTTGCTGCGAAAAGAAACTCTGTATGAATGAGTTGATATATAATGAGTTGTCCACAAACGAGACACTGCTATCAACGCTTGTATAAGTAAAAAGAAACGCTGCTATCGACACTTCCCCCAATACTAAAGTTGTCTTTAAACGAGTCACTGCCATGAACGGCTTCAACTACAGTGTAACGAAAGGAACTGCAGGCTGAGAAGCACCGCAGGCCAACGTGAACCAGTCGTGGTGATGAGGATGAGTGAAATCTGCGATGATGATAGCGATCATGAAGTCGGTTGTAGGAACCCACTTTTGTAGTAACCAACATACACTGGTATGCATTCACTTATGGTGAAAGGAAACTCGGTATCAGTGAGTTGATATAGAATGAGTTGTCCGCAAACGAGACACTGCTATCAACGCTTTTAGAACGAAGCGAACCCATCAGAACACTGTTATCAACGGAAAGAATGCTGTAGAAGGACAAAGCGCTGAATGTACACCGATGTGTTCGACGACTGCGTATGTAATGATGTGACGATATACAGACTAAGCCCTTCGTGAATGTCTACATGTTTTTCTGACGCCTACAAACGGCGCTGACGTGTGTGAGAAAATTGTCCGCGCAGCAAAAGCCGGCGAAGCGTGCGGGAGCTCGCATGCTGAGACAGACTACGTCTGCAGACAGCCAGCTGCAAAAGGTTGCGAGCGGCTCTTGGAAGATGTTTACGGAACGGAGCTACGGTGTCTGAAAACATTGGCATCGAAGCGAAGAGCCTCGGAGCCCTGCAGCCTGAGAAACACCGCAGGAACTCGCATACTGAAAAGGAATGCATTGCAAACCGCACGTTGCGAACCCTGCAGGCTGAGAAGCACCGCAGGATGTCGCATGCTGAAAAGCACTTGTACTGCAGAGCGCAGGCTGCGAAACCTGCAGGCTGAGAAGCACCGCAGGAACTCGCATGCTTTCGAACACTACTGCTCGAGACCGCAGCTGGAGAGCGGCAGACCGCAGGCTGAGAAGCACCGCGGGCAGGGAGACTTGCAAAACTCAGATGTCCTGATCGTCTTGGAGGAAGTCACGCCAGTCCGGCGGCTGCCAAGAATCGATGATGCGCCTGGAGCCACCGCCCGTGCTGCCGCCGATGTCCAGGTAGTCGCCATCGCCCCTGAACAGACGGCCGTGCCCCAACGCCAGAATCGCTTGGTTGCGGATTTGAAGCAGCGCTCCGCTCTCAAACATCTGCAACACGTCCAGCTGCCTGCGCGTGAAGTTCGGCTTTGGCTGGCCAGCCTGGGCAGACAGATGGAGGGAAAGCCGCTCCCCCTCGTTGTAGCGCGCGATGGCCTCGGCCTTCTGGTGGTGCAGCCGGCGCCGCTGTTGCCGCAGAGCTTCCTCGGGAACTGCTGCATCACGGCCCTCACTGTGATCAGCTTGCAACGCTTGCGTTAGCCAATCAACGTCG